AGTGATTCATTTTTATACTTATTGTCAATCTCATTAAACTGTCATCACAATTACTACATGAAATTGTAGGATTAAGTAAATGCTCTTGTTCAATAATTAACATTATTGAACATATTCTAGAAATTCCAATGAAAATGATTAACGAGAAGTAACGAGAAGCATTCAAATCTGTTATCCAAAATTAGAAAATCATTAGACCTACAATCTAAATATATTAAATTTTGAAATAATAACCTAGAAAGTGATGTTTATGAAATTAATAATTTCGACATGAGATAGTACGTAACACAAGCTTGCATAATAATGCTATTATGTACATATTTTACTTACAAAAATGTTTGCCGACGTTCTGTACAATTGTGCCAGTCACTTCTCTTATATTTTTAATATAAAACAATTTCCAACTAAAAATTATTGGTACAATCTGATCACTCTGCTGAAGAGACAATTTTTTTTAATATTCGGAACACGTTTTCAACGTCAATATCCTTATGAACGAATAAATAACGTGAAATTCACAAGTCCTCGCACGAGACTTGAAATTAGGAAACAAATATTAAGGTGGGGATGTAGATGCCTTCTAGAAAATTCACGAACATGTTCACGCGAATCACTTAGTATCTATGTAATGTATAATATCGATACGGAGTTTAAGTCATGCACAGAGCAGAGAGAAACAATGCGGTTACATTTTTTTTTATTCAAAAAATATAACTTTAGATATGTAATATGTCATTGATACAGAAATATGCTACCTATAGGTGAGTAGTTGAAAATATGTAAAATATAATATGAAAGATGAAAGAAGCAAAATATTTGTACAAGTAAGTATGTAAGTATAATACAAGATTCAATTTTTGTGTTTACAATATTAATCCAGAACCAACCAGGACTTGTCTATTATCTTGAGAGCTCCAATGTCAGATACTATAAGGAAATTATGGATAAGATAAAGGCCTTTGAGGAGCTCGTTCGATTCATGGTCTAAAAACATTAATTTTTTGCAAAATTAAGGCATAAAAAACTAAACCAAGGGTACGGAATTGTTCAAAAGAATTTACTCTCATGTCTCGCGCGTGTTGATTTAATTACCAAACATTGGCATCTATACTAATTTTATAGTCATAGCCCTTCGACGCGCCGATTTAGTCTATAAGTATCCGCATCTCTCTTGTACTACATTCCCGTTGGCTATAAGTGGAGCAGACCGCCCGGAAGTTGTCGTAGTCACTCCGTTTCCACGATCGAGAAGGCACATTCGTGGAGACCGTTAAGCAGGGATCCGGTGAGTTCCTATTTGAAAGCCGCGCCGAACGCGAACCGTGATCCCGGTCATACATCGCAAGGTCTATAAAACGAGAAGTTATTTGGTAAGCTACGGGCGGCCATATTGCTACGTCACTCAGAGTATCAAAAAAAAAAATACATAGGCGCCCTACTGCCCAATGCCAGTCAGTGCCATTGCTTTTTTGTATTTATTCAGAAGTAAGCGTCGAATTCAAATTTTATGCTTGTGCCGTGTGGCATAAATTTTATGTCAAAAATTCATCAGTTTTGCTTTAAAGTAGCGACTTGATATTTAATTTTTGCAATGTAATTTGTCTCGCTTGAACGAATCGACGGACTACCTGTACATTTACATTTGATTGAATGTATGGTAATTAGTGATGAAAATATAAAGTTAGACCGAAAGAATTAGTTCCTCTGTTTCCTTCTAAAATTTTCATTTTGTCAGATACGTGTTATTATACTGAAAGTATTGCTACTTTAGATAATGTTAATAACATATTATTTGTATCATTTGAAATTGATACTCCTGAGTGACGTCATTCCGGCGTTTTTTTAGTTAGCCTCTAATTAGTCAACAGTTCTACAGACCTTGCATACGCTGTGTCGGACGAGTACGAACTGCGTGGACCTATATGACGTATTCATACGTCGCGCCCTCCGTGATAAAGACGCGAAGAATATATTTTTTGTGTACGCGCGACGTGACCGTGATAGTAACAATTAGAAATTGCGTGATTAGTCACTATTTATCACTGTAATCATGATTTTATCGTTTTGACTGATTTTTACTACACGTGATGATTACATTTGTGTGTGCATCATCATATGATTCATTTGATCTTGAATCTTGATTGATAAATTATTTTTTATAAAATGCTTCAATATACATATAGTTTATATGGAAATCTGCATGTAATAAAATACTTTTGAATGAAAAATGAAAGGTAACTGAATGTTGCTCTCCTTATCCTGTACCATTTCGACCTTTTAGCAAGTAAAATTAATTCTTCGTTTCAATTTCACAACAATAAATAGTAATAGATATTCATTTAAATAGTGTATAAAAGTGCAAATAATTTCTTTTATTTAATGTGTGCATACACACAAATGTTATTTAAATCAATAGAAGGAAGGAATTTTAAAACAACGATTTTCCAATAATTATAGAATATTGTATATAATATGTAGCATTATTTAAATGTATGCTTGTATATGTTTCTTTATTGCATCTTCTATATTTATAAGATTTACTGTCCTTTGCAATCATTCATGGGATGATATTCGCATTTTCATTAATTAGTTGATTTGCATAAAATATAAATATAGGTTAGGTTGCTTATTTTCATTGATTGAATAGTGATGTGTAGACTTATGCAAAGAACAGCTACATATACTCTTCAGTGAAGAGTCTTCACCAATCAAAGGCATTCACGAAAAATCACGAATCACTGTGATTGGAAACGAACCTGATCGAAGTAACAGAGTTCTAGCCATCACTACAACAATTACTTGCGTGATTTTTATTTGGCCTAACTACAATTTAAATATATATCGTAACGTAAGTAAAAGAATGCGAACATAAGAGTGAATTAAACAATATCAAACGATTAATATTTATTCTGCATTTTATTGGAAATTCATATTGTACTCTTATTTCTGATAATACTGTGACAATTATAGCGTTATTGTAGCTAAGTTCGTGCGGTCACGCAACAGTACATAGTGTATGTTATTATAAATGTTATTTACATTGTTATTTTCTTTGGTTATATATCGTTTACATGTTATTTGCAGTCAATGTGTTAAACAATTACCTAAAAGCAACTAAATTATATCCGCATACAACATTTAATCCGTGACAAATAATTAACATTAATTACCAATAACAACAACGTCAAAGAGGAAATAAAAATTGTAATATTCAATTTCTATGCACCTACTGATTATACGTGGCTTCGAATTAATAGTAAATTTATAGTAGAGTTCGCCAAATTATTTTGAACAATCGCATATTGTTCAAAGAAGGGTTGGGGGTCCATGAACACCAACATACAATTAATTTAAAAAATATCTAATTCACCGGATGCGTACAATTCACGAAGAATGGTTTTAACACGCATAGCTAGATTTCGAATTCCTTACGTATCAGTACAGCCGTTATTGTATCGCAGGTATGTTAATATTTTTAATAGAATGCCGTAGATGTTTAATATAATTTGATCCTGATCTGTACGAGTGAATTTTTTATTATTTGTGAAACAAACAAAGGAATTTAATCGCTAGTTAAATCACATTAAGTTCCTGGTTCATCTACGCATTTTTACAATTGATTTGGTCGTTAATGTACACATGTAACTATATACATACGTAACTACATAAATACATATATTATACTCGTTCATACATTTATACATACATATGTTCATATAATTCAAAATATTAAAATTATTTCGATACTCGCAGAAATTAAATCGGTAAAACATACATTACTATTCATACACACTGATGTACACATTACATACGTTTTATATGTACAAGATATAACCTAACAACATGTTGACCCAATCGAAATAACATCTTCGAGCTGCTTTATATGTATATGCAAATATCATATTAAAAAAAATACAAAAACTGAAATTTTTGTTGATGGAAGGTTTTTCTGTATATCTAAATGAAGTAAGTTGATAAAATTTTATAATTATAGAAGAATATAAAAGATGTGTTGTCAAACATTTTTATGTAATTCGTAATAT